CATTTTTGTCACCATTCAGACATCATATGTAGGGATAAAGAAATACATGAGGACAGAAATTGCCTTCTCAGAAACGGCTTTTAACAAGGAAAAACAATAATTTGGTTCCTAAAGAAGGCTCCATGCTCAGGAAATCATCATTGTGGTTTTTGAATTACTTTCAATCTCTGAAGTTTGACTCCTCAGTGCATTTGTATATCTATGAACACATTAAACGTGATTAAGGTTTCACACGATTTTGGGCAATCCTTCACCAAAAGGAAGAAAAAGTAATTAGAACATAAAAAATAAATTAGTAGAAGTAAACATCATCAGGAAAGAGATTTGATCAATAATTTTCATAAAGCCCTTGGGGCATGGTTATAAGAGATAAAGAGGGAGGAGAATCTTAATGTGATGCATGGTTTGAATATCTTCATTTTCACTCATTATTCAAGGGTGGAGATTGATACCATACTTGTAAATGAAGTAATTTGTAGATGCCTATAAAATTATCAAGGCAAAAGTACAAATACTTGTATTATAAAAAACTATTTTTCATAGAAAGTGAAAATTCGGTCCAAATTGACGAAAAATGTTATTTCTACCCCTTGTGAATAATATAACAATGACATTTAAAGACATAAATAACATTTCCAGCCTAACACAGACATTTCTGTTTTAATAAAAATCATTTGTCAGCTCGATCGGAATTGTAATGAAGATATGGTACACTAACGTGCACGTGCGCAATGGGAATCAAACTATTATTCAAACAAAAAACCTTGTCTATGGTTCTTGGGAGAATGATCGCACAAATGAAATTGTTTATATATGTTTCCTGGCATTCACTTTGAAGTCCAAGGAGATAATTAATTTGAATAAACACTGTCCTTGGTCAAATTTGTTTTTGGTCAAATTGTAGCAAAGAATTCATAACCCTTCTTATTTTCAATAGTTGGTGTTGGTGATGAAAAATTTTCTTATTTTCAATAGTTCGATATTGAAATTATACTAATAAACATTGCCCTTATTTTACCCTAACTAAATTAATCCCTCCCTTAGAATCCACTGAGATTAGCTTAAATGGTAAAGATTTTATTCGAACTACACCAAAAAATGCATGTTTAAGTCTCTCTATCTTCATTTTAGGGCTAACATTTTTAATAGGTCACTTTGTCACCTTAAAAATTTTAGTCTGGCAGGTATATAAATAAAGCAATTTATAAGTATTCATAAAACTAATTAGAACCAACGAGGGGTTGGATTAAGTGGTAAGCGGATTGTTCCAGTTTAGGTAAGGTCTCGAGTTCGAGACCTTATGTACGCAGTTGCTCCCGTTGGGAGATTTACCCACCATTTTCATATGCGCGACGCGAGTCGGGTCCGGATTAATCGAGGCGAAACTTCGAATACCGGGCGGGAAACCAAAAAAATAAAATAAAATTAATTAGAATAAACATCTATTCACTTATGATTATGTTATAAAAAAAAAAAAAAAACTCTTTCTATGATTCTAGGAATCATAGAACAACCCAAATATTTTAATTTAGTTGGAATAATAGAACATACGAGTAGATTTATACAAGTAGATTTATTGGTCTGATGCATGTATTGAAACCTAGAATTTATTATTTAACCATGACAAATTTTAAGAGGAAGGAATTGTGCCCTGCACAAGGCTAGAGGTAAGGAGTACTTCCATCTGGTCAAATACACCAAGTGCAACAATTATTACATTAAAATTTCTACAATGCTATACATGGTTATGATATATTAAATAATTAATTAGATATATTTTTATATAAAAATTAAATAAAAATAAATTATAAAATATTACTAATATTATATAAATAATTATTATTTGTTTCATGTCTTGTTTAAAGTTTTTTTTTTAGTATAATTTCAAAATTCCAATGGAAAATCAAATAACACTTATTGCTTACAAACCTATAAAAAAAAAAAAAGAGAGAGAGAGAGAGAGAAATTTAATGATACTCAATGAAATATCTAAATATTAATAGGGAATTGTATAATAAAGAAGAGCATGTGCAGCTGGAAAAATTTTCAAACAACCCACGTGCCTGAGTTCAACAAAAGATCAGAAGTGGGACCCACATTACCAGCCTGTCGGCCCTTTTATACTACTCGGTTACAATAATCATCAATCTTTGATTATCTCCTATTCTTAAATAGGTTAACCTTTAATTAATACTATTTCTTTTTTCTGTTTTAACAGCTAATGCGTCCATAGTCTTGTTATTTTTTGGTATTTTAAGACTAAACCTTTATTTATTTGTATTGTATTATATTATGTTATAATTATAATTTTTTTATTATCTTAAAATTATATAAAATATTAATTAAAAATTAATAAAAATATATAAAAATTTATCATTTTAAATAAAGT